AAATTGGAAAACATTTTTTAAATAACATCTAACTAAAATATTGCCAAAATTGGATTCCGAAGCTTCCCCCTGACATTAAATTGAAAACATTCGTTTAAAAAAATGAACTTTATATTTCAAAACCGATTGAATTCCTATTCAAAATCTAACTCAAATCTTGCCAAATTTGATTTCGAAGCTTCCCCTTATATTAAATTGAAAACCTTACAAATCCCCACCTCCTTTTACTAAACGTACCCTAAATACAAAAATATTACATTGGTTCCTTTTACTAGGGTCCGCGTTAAATTTTGGGAAATTTCAGGCTGGCCAGTTTGACTTTTAATTGATACCTTTTCAAAAACAAATTAAACATGAAGGTCCCATTTCAGGATTTCACCACCAAAAAATAAAAACTAGTCAGCCCCGGTGATTTTTTAAACTAGGGTCTTTTAAGGTCGAAAAAATAAGTATTTTATATTACAACGTTTATATAATATTGGGGGAAAACTTCGAAATCCACTTTTTGGCATTTCCTGGCAATATTTTTGCTGGATGTCAAAAGGAAATCTAATCGATTCTTGAAATCGAAAAAACATAGTTTTTTTTGTTAGTGTTTTTAATTTAATCTTAGGGGAAAACTTCGAAATCCAATTTTTAGCAATATCTTAATTATATGTTAAGCAGAAAACTAATCGATTTTGAAACAGTTTTTTTTTAAAATATATTAGGGCTGGTAATTTAATATTAGAGGAAACATTTCGAAATCCGGTTTTTGTTTTTATTTTTGTTACTACAATTTAAAAGGAAATCGAATCGATTTCAAAAAAGAAAAAATAATATTTTATATTAGGGTTTTTAATGTAATATTAGGGGAAAACTTCAAAATCCAATTTTTGACCATATTCTAATTAGATTTCAAAAGGAAATCTAATGAATTTTGATATAGAAAAAATAGTCTTTGATATGAGGGTTTAATATGAGGGGAAAGCTTCGAAATCCAATTTCTGGCAATATCTTAATTTGAATTTACAAGGAAATCTAATCGATTCTGAAATAGAACAAATTTAGTTTTTTGTATTGGAATTTTTCATGCAAGATTAGGGGAAGCATCGAAATCCAATTTTTGAACATATTTTAATAATTGGATTTTAATTTGATATTAGGGGAAAACTTCAAAATCAATTTTTTGTTTTTTTCATTAGATTTCAAAAGGAAATCTAATCGATTTTGAAACAGGAAAAAAAACAAAATGATATTAGGGTTGAATATAAGGGAAAAGCTTCGACATCCAATTTTTTGGCCATATTTTATTTTTTTAACGGAAATCTAATCGATTTCGAAATAGAAAAACATACATAGTTTTTTATGTTGGGGGTTTTTATTTGATATTAAGCTTCGGAATCCACTTGTTTGCCATATTTTAATTGGATTTAAAAAGAAAGAAATTTGATCGATTTTGAAATAGAAATATGTGTATATATATATATATGTGTGTGTGTTTTTTTTATCAGTATTAGGGGGAAGCTTCGTACCCTAATACTAAAGACCCCCCCAATACTAAAAACTCCTCCAGGTGTTTGTTATTTGGGTGGGTGGGTGAAGGGGCGACTGTTTAGCAACAGGGGGAAGGGATTAAACCGTTTTTTGTTTCCAATTTCAAAATCCATGAAAATAATCTTTAAATAGAATACTGCCAAGAATAGGATTTCGAAGCTTTCGCCTAGTATCAAATAAAACATCAACACCTGAATTAAAAAAACTAAAATTGACGATTTTAAAGGACGGACCCCAATAAAAGACACCCCGGTGTTGACTAGTTTTTTATTCTTTGGGGGTGAAACCCTCACATGGTACCTTCATTTTCAAAATTGTTTCCTCAAGGGGATCAATTAAAAATCAAATTAACCAATTTGACATGTCCCAAAATTGGAAATCGCACCTAGTTTTTGTCATTTGGGGGTATTTTTCGTAATAGGGAGAAAGGATTAGCAAAAAGAATGCCTGATCAAAATGATGCTGATTCTGTGTGTTACAATCTTTTTGCCCACTACAGTGTCTACAGGGTTACAAGGGATGCCGTGCCAGCTAGAGTCCCAAGTCCATTCAACCAACACCCTAATCGATGAAGTTGGACTTGTTGAAATGGAAGTGGGACTGGACCAGTTGACATGGGGCGATGCTGACCTTCAACGGGAGCTTCGGCGCCTGAAGGACAACAGTTTGAAAATTCCGAACCTGAAATATATTTTCAAAATTGCCTTACTAAGAGTGATCCCCACCCTGACACACTATTCTGACATAGTTTCTGACATATCATCTGGACGTATATGTGGCATATATGTTCTGACATACTATCTTACATTCTTTTCTGAGATTCTATTTGACATTCTTTCTGGCATCCTATCTGGCATCTATTCTGACATACTTTCTGGAATATACTATATTCTGATCCTGCCTTGCCATGAGTTTGGGCTGGGAGTGCTTTTATTTGCGTGGATCAATGCCAATGGCTTGAATATCCACCAAATGTTGGTTTCACATGTTTGCACCCAATGATTGCCATTACCATTGATACCCCAAAATGGCCAGGTCCTGAATTTGAGAGTAGGTCCTGAAAAGTTTTCTGGGTACTGAAAAAACAGGACTTTGGCACAGGGTCTGAAAAAAGACGTAGGTGGAAGATTCAGGTATGCTGTTGGGTTGCAAAGCTGGGTTAATATATATATATACATATCACATGTATATATTCTGATCAACACGCACCCACAGTTCTTGCCAACGACACTTTCCCATGTTTCATGGTAAAATCCCTGCTCTTCCAGGATGATTTCCATACCAGAGCTGTACACCTTGGTCAGCGGTCTTGGCTCATCCTTCAAGGCCGGGAAGAAATCACTATTGTTTTTGCTGCCCGTGATGTGAATCGATGAACGCCACCGGTTGAGGCCATTTTATTTGGCTCGGTGTTGCTCGTGGGGGTGATAGTCCCTTGGCGATCGGGTTTTCCGCTTGGATCTTGAGGTGGATCCTGATCCAACTGCTTCTCCCAAGCCCCTCAACTTTTTGGGAAGCGATGCCGGGAAAACCCGTAGAATCCGTAGAACCTGGCACAGTCCCATCAGGGGTTCATATCCTTAGAAGGATGAAGAGTAGGAAAACAAGGAGCATGTTGCTGACTTTGGTGTCTTATCATCGAATCTATGCAAACATGTCTACATAGACCAGTCTTAGAAGACAGGCTGACACTGTCAATTGGGTTTGCAAACTATTGAATACCTGGCCATTTCCCACCATTGAATTGTGCCCCAATTTTATCCAACCCCCACTGCCCACTGTGTCTTTTGGATCAGTCTTTGGGAGGTCCAAAGGACAGAACAGAAGTTGGGGTAGGAAACCTCCATCTAAATAGGATTGTCCATTATAAACCAAGCATTTTCGGAATCCCGCATTTATAATTAGCTACGATTTTCTGGGCACATGGCACATTTGCGGATGTGAAAAGCCAAGGTGGTTTGGTCGATTATTGTGGTGGAATTCTTGCACCCAATAAATGTCGAGCAGCTTGGAGAGATGGCGGGGATTCCACAGTCTCTCCATGGATTCAAAATGGCAACGCATCCATAAATCATATATATATATATAGAGTATAAACTGTCAAAGATTGCTTCTTCAAATACCCCATCTACTCTCTCCCTCTCTCTCTCTCTCTGTGGCCGCCTCTCTAATTGTCTCTCCATCTGTCTATCAATCTATCTATATACCTACCTACCTACCTGCCTGCCTGCCTGCCTACCTACCTACCTACCTATGTTCACACATGTAGATATAGATAGGTACACGGTACATGTTTGTAGCCTTTTTGGCCTCGGTACCGCCTTCAACACAACCACCAGCATTACCCGAAAACGATCATTTGACAAGACATATAAGCAACTACTTGGAATACAAATCTGTATCAAATATGGATGTATGAAAAGTGTACGTATGAACAATGTGTGTGTATATACGTACATATATATATAATATTTATACACATGAATAATGCATATGTGAACTATGTATTTAATTGAACAATGTGTATATATATATGAGAATGAAAGACAAAATATACACTTTTTGAACAGCAGAGGAGGGCCATTTCAAAAGCTTCTATCAACGGAGGGCAAAGTCCTCTGCTGACACCTGAGGATTGAGTATTTCCAATGTGAGCGTTGTCCTCGAGGTTTTCAAACTGTGTTCGCTGCATGTCTCACGCTTTTCTCACAGATTCTGGGCAGTTGGATGAGAATCATTGGAAATGGTTCCTCTTTTCCCTGAAGGGACAATGGCATGCCCTGCCAAACTAAACTGTTTCAAGGTTTGAAGCAGTACTTATTTTCACCAGTTGGGAAGAATCATGCTGAACCAGGATCGTGGCTGGCGATCAATGGAGTTCCATTTCTGTGCCCCTTGCGGAACATAGCCCTTGGACGGCTCCAATCATGTTCTTCATGATGACAACGATCTCTCTCGGAGTTATGAATTTGATCTTGGCAGTGATCCTTGAGTGCAGTGAAGATCAAACTGACTTGGGGCAAGTCCCATCATGTCCCATCATGTCCCATCATCCCGCTTGATGTTTAGATATGTTTAGATCCCAAAAATGGGAGTTTTTTTCCTGATTAAGAACTCTTCCACGACAATTTCTGATTTTTTGGGTGGAAAGATACTTGGAGTGACAGAGCTTGTCCCAGGGACTGAATGATCTGTGCCATCTCAATGGAGGACCATGGGTTTTCCCGTCGATTTTTGCTTCTAAACAATGGGTCTATGTCGGAACTATTCAATCCTCCCAACATGGATAGCTCTCAAATTATGGATAGCTGTTAAAAAGAACAATCACCAGCCTTTTGTGGGTCCTTAAGCAGGTACCCCAATGGGTGTCGGGCTCTCTCAGGATTGTGGAGAAGGCTGCAGAGGCGCGTGCCAACGACAAAGCGCGGAAGAAACTCGCGAAGGAAAATGAACGCGAAGCGCGAATGGTCGAACTGGCCATGCTGTGGCTGGGATCAGTTTGTTTCCTATTTTTTTTTTAATGGTTGTATAAAGTAGTATGTATTTTTCACAGCAACTTCAACGGAAGCATAATTCATCTAGATGTTGTGTTGTACATTTTTTTCTCCCAAGTTCAGCGTGATGACGGGAACGATGATCAGCTGCCAAGCAGCGAGGTGTGATTTGTTGGATCATGACAGCAATGGCCATCTGAATCTGGACGAAATGCTACAGGGCTTTGACACAAATGAGACGTTCTGGATGCTGATGCAGCACTTTGACATTTCCAGGTGAGGGGGTTCAAAAGGAATTCAACACTGTTTTGATGAACCAACATATAGGATTACAAGCTACCAAACTAGGTGTTTTCAAAATTTTTCATGTGCCTTAAGATGTGTTAAACTACCAAAATTGGGCTCAAACAACACAAAGAAGGGACTTTAAACTTTAAACGGATTTTCCCTTGGGAAATCCAAAAACGCAGGGACAATTTTGATATCATTTGTTGCGTTGACTGGATACATACTATATATATATAATCCCCTCAAGTACTAAAGATCTGGAATGGCTGGACCTGGGGACCAGCCAGCAAAGGGTCTAGCATGGTGGGGACGAGGGTTTTTCTGCACCTGTAGCCTGTATCCACCTGTATCATTTTAGACCCTTGACTTGCTATGCATATCATTGTACTTCTGGATATCAGATGTTGATTTTATACATATATATATGGGAACTAGGGAATAAGCGTGTATGATATAGTATACAAAAATATTTGATATAGCATGGAACCATATGATATAATTTAATATAATATAATATAATATAATATATAATCAAAGGAAGTTTAGGGGGAGAAACTTCCGTGTTACGGACTTTTAGAATGTCAGGGAAAGAGTTAGTCAAAGAAAGAGTTAGCAAAGAAAGAGTTCGTCAGGGAAAGAGTTAGTGAGGGAAAGAGTTAGTCAAAGAAAGAGTTAGTCAAAGAAACAGTTAGTCAGGGAAAGAGTTAGTCAAAGAAAGAGTTAGTCAGGGAAAATGTCAGGGAAAGAGTTAGTCCAAGAAAGAGTTAGCAAAGAAAGAGTTCGTCAGGGAAAGAGTCAGTGAGGGAAAGAGTTAGTCAAAGAAAGAGTTAGTCAGGGAAAGAGTTAGTCAAAGAAAGAGTCAGTGAGGGAAAGAGTTAGTCAAAGAAAGAGTCAGTGAGGGAAAGAGTTAGTCAAAGAAAGAGTTATTGAGGGAAAGAGTCAGTCAAAGAAAGAGTTAGTGAGGGAAAGAGTAGGGAAAGAGTTAGTCAAAGAAAGAGTTAGTGAGGGAAAGAGTTAGTCAAAGAAAGAGTTAGTCAAAGAAAGAGTTAGTGAGGGAAAGAGTTAGTCAAAGAAAGAGTTAGTCAAAAAGAGTTAGTCAAAGAAAGAGTTAGTCAGGGAAAGAGTTAGTCAAAGAAAGAGTCAGTGAGGGAAAGAGTTAGTCAAAGAAAGAGTTAGTGAGGGAAAGAGTCAGTCAAAGAAAGAGTTAGTGAGGGAAAGAGTTAGTCAAAGAAAGAGTTAGTCAGGATATATGAGGTAGTGAAAGAAAGAGTTAGCAAAGAAACAGTTAGTCAGGGAAAGAGTTAGTCAAGGAAAGAGTTAGTCAGGGAAAGAGTTAGTCACAGAAAGAGTTAGCAAAGAAATTCCATTGTGATTTGCAACTGTAGGATCGTTCCCGCAATGTAAATGGGATTGCAAGTGGTGCTGGTGGATGAGTTGCCGATGGAATTCCATTGTGATTTGCAACTCTAGGATCGTTCCATCACTGTAAATGGGATTGCAAGTGGTGCTGGTGGAGGAGTTGCCGATGGAGTTTTGGAGGAAGTCTCGCACGAAATGCGTTTTTGAGAGATAGCAGATGCACGAAACCCTATGTATTTCCATACAAAGTCCGTCCCCGAACCTCGATGATCTACCTCTGCGGTGCGACGGTTGCGAGACGGTCTCGTGTGTGGTCGGATATGTTCGGACTATTCTCGGATCATTCTCGGATCGGTTCTGCATTGTAAATGGGGTTTCAACTGCTTTTCGTGCATGTGTGGTCGACAGAATTCCATTGTGATTTGCAACTGTACGATCGTTCCCGCATTGTAAATGGGGTTGCAAGTGGTGCTGGTGGATGAGTTGCCGATGCAATTCCATTGTGATTTGCAACTCTAGGATCGCTCCCTCACTGTAAATGGGATTGCAAGTGGTGCTGGTGGAGGAGTTGCCGATGGAGTTTTGGAGGAAGTCTCGCACGAAATGCGTTTTTGAGAGATAGGAGATGAACGAAACCCTATGTTTTTCCATACAAAGTCCGTCCCCGAACCTCGATGATCTACCTCTGCGGTGCGACGGTTGCGAGACGGTCTCGTGTGTGGTCGGATATGTTCGGATCATTCTCGGATCATTCTCGGATCGGTTCCGCATTGTAAATGGGGTTTCAACTGCTTTTCGTGCATGTGTGGTCGACAGAATTCCATTGTGATTTGCAACTGTAGGATCGTTCCCGCATTGTAAATGGGGTTGCAAGTGGGGCTGGTGGATGAGTTGCCGATGGAATTCCATTGTGATTTGCAACTCTAGGATCGTTCCCTCACTGTAAATGGGATTGCAAGTGGTGCTGGTGGAGGAGTTGCCGATGGAATTCCATTGTGCTTTGCAACTGTAGGATCGTTCCCGCAGTGTAAATGGGATTGTAAGTGTTGCTTCCTCTTTTGGCTGCATGCGTAATACTTATTGGAGTGGCTGCATGAAGGCTGCGACAGTGATTTGTCAGCAGATTTGCTCCATTCTGGGGCTAATGATTTTCCTTCTAAAAATCCTTTTAAAAAGTGCTTCAAAATCGTTTTTTTTCGCTCTGGCGTCGAGATCCGGTTTTGGAGCTACAATTTCCGACCCAGTTGCGCGTAGTTCTATTGTGTTTTGCAACTCAGTCTTTGCAGATCGCATTGTAATGGCTGCGTCAAGGTTGCTTGGTGCCGCGGCTGCATGCGCAATACTATTGTCTTTTGCAACTGGACTTCGTAAATCGTATTGGAGTGGCTGCATGAAGGCTGCGACAGTGATTTGTCAGCAGATTTTCTCCATTTTGGGGCTAGTGATTTTCCTTCTAAAAATCCTTTTAAAAAGTGCTTCAAAATCGTTTTTTTTCCGCTCTGGCGTCGAGATCCGGTTTTGGAGCTACAATTTCCGACCCAGTTGCGCGTAGTTCTATTGTGTTTTGCAACTCAGTCTTTGCAGATCGCATTGTAATGGCTGCGTCAAGGTTGCTTCTTGCCACGGCTGCATGCGTAATACTATTGTCTTTTGCAACTGGACTTCGTAAATCGTATTGGAGTGGCTGCATGAAGGCTGCGACAGTGATTTGTCAGCAGATTTTCTCCATTTTGGGGCTAGTGATTTTCCTTCTAAAAATCCTTTTAAAAAGTGCTTCAAAATCGTTTTTTTTCCGCTCTGGCGTCGAGATCCGGTTTTGGAGCTACTTGTGTTTTGCAACTCAGTCTCTGCAGATCGCATTGTAATGGCTGCGTCAAGGTTGCTTCTTGCCACGGCTGCATGCGTAATACTATTGTCTTTTGCAGCTGGACTTCGTAAATCGTATTGGAGTGGCTGCATGAAGCGTTGTTACGACCCGCACAAAAAACCATGATCGTATTGCATACATGTGAAAAAAACATGCTGTCGTGGGAGCGGGTAAATGCAAGTCGCACTAAGATCCGCTCAATGCTTTATGCAGCATGGGTTGGATTTTTGTAGTTTGTTGAAAGTATGATTTTCTGGACCATTTCCTTTTTCAGACATCAGACCTCAAGCTGGGTGAGATGGTATGTTTCGTGTTTATTTGACGTCTGTTGAATGAGATGGTTGGTTGGGGATCTACAATTTGGATGAGGAAGTGCGTTTCGTGTTTCTTGGACCCTAGTTGGTACGTGTAATTGTTTCTTCACTTCGACTATGGGGAATTTCGATCTGTTATATTCACCCTATGATGTTGTCTGGTAGCGGTTGTGTAGTTTCAGCTCTGCAACGTTGCCGCTGCCGTTTGTGTCGGTCATGCATATGTGATCAAATCTATCAGCAAGACCTAAATCATGTTATGTCATGTTTTGAATCATCACATGTTTTTTTAATGCATGCATCATGGAGTTTGCAAGGGACACCCGACGTGCGACGTTACGGTCCGCGTTGGCTAACATATGTGTAGCAGCATGTTGGATATAGGTGGAAAAGGAACTCACATCCCCTGGGTATGATGTTTCGCCTATTCGTGCCCACAAGTGATGCTGGATTCGCTAGCTGCGTGCGTCGTTGTGGACTGCGTAGCTGGTAAAATCAACATCCCCTGGGTATGATGTTTCGCCTATTCGTGCCCGCAAGCGATGCTGGATTCGCTAGCTGCGTGCGTCGTTGTGGACTGCGTAGCTGGTAAAATCATGACGATGCGCTGACGTGACTGGTAAAACAAAGCCGTTCGGTGTCAACCCGTAGGGGAGGCTCTTGCCTTGAGAATTTGTTTGTGCTTGTTTCATTGTTTCATTCGAGTGTCTATCGCTCATGTCCCCCGTGTGCTGGTCGATCGACTCGGTAGGTGACTGTTGGGTAGGTGTCATGGGTAGGTGCCATGGGTGCCTCATTACATGTCCCTCAGAAAAAATATCTTTGCGCAGACTTGGGTTTGAGACATGGTGTGTCACGACATGTTGACTGTCTACACGCTGAAGCGCAGGATCAAGAGCAACGATGTTTCATAGGACTTCACAACAAACAGATGTTTCCGTAGGACTTCACAAATAAACAGATGTGTCAGCTGTGTTTCTGCGCATACATGTGGATTGACATTACAGCTACGTAACGCGGTCACAACGGACAGCACAGTTACTATGTCGTACATGCAAGACGTACCAACTAACGTTCAGTGCTTATTGTCGAAGTACGTCGTTACGGACTGCTTTTACCTTTGCCATGGCGCTCGCCGCATACGACTGGCTGGTATGGAAGGATAGAGCTGCTAGCTTTCTGCGGGCTCACCCTCGGGAAGTTGCGCTGCAACTCACTTGGGGTCAGCGACTGGTGGTTTCGGGAGCCCGTGAGGCATACGCAGTCGCAACCTATGAACGAGAGGCCATGGGTCGTAGCCTCGGCGCGGCGCCATGCAACTTGTGTGGATGCTGGACACATAGCTGGTGTGAAGCTTGCAAAACACGTCCGCCCACTGCAATTTGTTCGACGTGCGACGCGGCCAAACTCTTGTGTCAGTCTTGCACGTCGTGTCACCAGCTGGTTTATTCCGAGGCTTCACAGAAGCCACAATAGCAACTTCCTTGCCTCCCAGAACTGGACGTGCGAAGTTGTGTTCCGCGTCCAGCATGGTCGAGGCGGCGCTGGAGAGCCACCTGTGGTGAATGACTAGAGCGCCAAAAGTTCAGATTGGGGCCATTGGAGAAAGCCGAAGTCTCTGGTACGCTTTGCGTCGCCACAGAACCAAAGCTCAGTGCGCAGAATGGCTCAACATCTTGCACAGCAACAGTACGTGGTATTGCCGCAGAGGGATCAATTCTCGTTTGACTGCCGAGGGCTGGGTGTGCGTTGTTGTGAACCGCATCCGAGTCTGAATTGCTGTGCTTCAGTAGCTTCGCCTTTCATTTCGAGTTGCAGACGGCAGAATGCCTGTGTCACTTCATTTTCGTTTCTGTGTGCGTTGTTACGAACCACACAAGAAACCATGATCGTATTGCATACATGTGACAAAAAAAAGGATCTTTCAGATTTTGGCTGCTTTCATTTTCTATTTAAAATCAACTTTTTCTGCTCTGGCGTTGGAGTGTGAAGGAAGCAGTGTGTGAAGTGTGAAGTGTGAAGGAAGCAGTGGGAAGTGAGAAGTGTGAAGTGTGGAGTGTGAAGTTTAAGTTTGGAGTGCGAAGCGCGCAGTGTGAAGTGTGAGGTTTGGAGTGTGAAGGAAGCAGTGGGAAGTGTGAAGTGTGAAGTGCGAAGTGTGAAGTGTGAAGTGTGGAGTGTGAAGTTTCAAGTTCGGAGTGCGAAGAGTGCAGTGTGAAGTGTGGAGTGTGAAGACTTTGCTTCGTCTCTCGCTGAAAAAATCAAACGGTTGTCGAGGTTTGGAGTGCGAAGCGCGCAGTGTGAAGTGTGAGGTTTGGAGTGTGAAGGAAGCAGTGGGAAGTGAGAAGTGTGAAGTGTGAAGTGCGAAGTGTGAAGTGTGAAGTTTGGAGTGTGAAGTTTCAAGTTCGGAGTGCGAAGAGTGCAGTGTGAAGTGTGGAGTGTGAAGACTTTGCTTTGTCTCTCGCTGAAAAAATCAAACGGTTGTCGAGGGAAGGACACGGTCGGGACAGGGTGTCTTTGAACTATAGGTCATTTATGTTTGGGAAACTTCCGCCGCCGGCTTGCCCGGGTCTATGTTATAATATAATATAATATAATATAATATAATATAATATTGTGTGATTTAATATAATATCATATAACATACAGAGTTTAATATACATAGTTTAATATACATAATATAATATACATAATATAGTATAGTATAATATAATAAGACAAAGTGAAACAAAAACACATACAATATACTTTACTGCAAAATAATGAAATACATATAATGAAATACATATGCAATGAACTATAATGACATACATTTATTTGTACAATAATATCTCAAACCAAATAGAATCTTAATATACTTCAGGAGGCCTACCAGTGTATTGTACAGTAGTAAATATGTAGTATAATACCAAAAAGAGGTACAATATATTTGAATTTAATTTACTATGGTATAATATAACATGATATAAAATAACATGATATTGAATAACATGATGATATAATAAATGACATACAGTAATAAATGATATAATATGATATGGTATGGTATAAAATTACATGACATAGTATAACATGATATAAGAAATGATTTGATATCAAACATCGTTTAATAGCCTAATTAGTTTCTCACATTAGCTATATAGTACAGTGAATTAGCAATTATCCCTTCAACTCTTCAACCTGATACATTTTAATAAGTTTTGTTGTCCATAGTCATTTTTCGGATACCGTCCGGTTTCTTTAACATAGCTATGGCAGCTATGGCCCATTTATTGATCATTTCTGATGATACATGGCCCATTTATTGATCATTTATGATGATTTACCTTGATTCACCTTGAAAAAATGGTGATTCACCAGTGATTTTTTTTTTGCCCCTGTGACTGCTCTGCACTTAATGCGAGCCTTGGGCGTGGGCCAGGTCGGAGGTGGAGGTGGTCTTCAACGTGTTGAGTGGCGGGAACGCGGAGGTCTTTTGTGATCAAAACTTGTTCTGATGGGGTTTAAAGATGACCAAAAATGATGGGTATTTAATGGGTTTGCATAACCATTGCATGAACTCGGGGATTAAGTGGGGTTTCATGGCAGTATATCATATGGTTTGATTCACAATATGGTTTGACTTGACGGTTTGACGGTTTGACTGTTTGACGGTTATCTTAACATAGCCTCATAGCATTGACATGGATGGTTATGAATAGTTACCACAAAAAACAAAATGAATTTGGAATTGGATCAATAGCATTTGACAGGGGATATAAACAGCAATACATGGGGAAACTTGGCTGATGGCACAATGTTCAAGGTGGTTTACTGTAGATTTGGGGAACAATCCAAAATCTTCCAAGACTTCAGGTTGGTGAGTGAGTATGATTTAGCCAGATTGATGTTAAAAGTAGGACTGACGGCCTGGTATGATTCATCGCAGGGAATGCGAATGCCATCATTCCAGTGGTCAGATGGTGGCCCGGTAGGATTCATGGGATCATGCCCTCGCGATGATTCCCTTCATAAGTAAGGGGACTGAAGGATTTTTATCCAGTAAATTTTGCAATTACCCTCTGGTAATTTAACATAACTATGGAAAATCACCATTTATAGTGAATTTTCCCATGAAAAATGGGGTAACCAACGCCAACCATCAATCATGAAATGAGGCTTTTCACTGCTTACCTCGGGCGAGCGATGTGAAAAAACTCTCTGGTCTTGATGGTCTTGGGGTTCTTCCCATTGGTTCTTGACGATGATTATTTGGACTCTGGACTAATCGAATATGGGAACCCTTATCAATCTACCAGGTCGTATAATGTTCCCAAGCAAACAACCAATTTGATTTGATACCCTCTTGGATTATCCATCAGGATTTTTTTGCTTGTCAATCAACCAGTTGCTGTACTAACAGTCAGTATCTCCCCAACGAACCAGTTTCATGAGATACAGTATGGTAATGAGACATGGCAATGGAAAATCACCAAATTTGATGATTTTCCCATTTCAAGTGCCCATTGAGTTCAGGGATTTCCGTGTCATGTTTGATGACACTGGATCCGATCCTTTCAGGTGAATTACATGGAGTTCTGCCAGCACCTGAGTGCCTTCAATAAGCGCGATCCCTTAATGATCCAGCAGCTCATCAAGTATTCCGTCATGGAGCTGCGTAGTGTCTTGAAGCAGGATGTCATGGAGGCTGGGCAACTTGACCAAGGGAGGTTTGGAAGGCCATCTGAGTTGCCGAGGCTGGAGCAAGGATCTGAGTGTTGGCCAGGAAAAAGAAGGTTTGTTTGAAAATGGGGTATGCCATCCAAATGGCATTTGATTAGGACAAATGATGTTGTAAGACATGAAATTTGGCGGGTACCCTACCCCTATGTGCCACCGTTGAGATCTGCAGGCATTGCAGAAGCAGAATGAGATGTTGGAGGCCCCACCAGTAGCAATTTGGGGGGGAACCATCAATACTGTCAATGCCCGAGTATTGGTGACCCATGTACTGTTTACTCTCAGGGGCAGGCCACTTTTGATAGCATAGCAATGATATCCGTTTGAATGTGTATGAAAAACAGTAAACATACACAATTAGACGTGAAACTGATAGAGGGACACGCTTGCACCGCACATATACATACATATACATGTATATATATATCTATCTATCTATCTATCTATCTATCTATCTATAAATACATATAAACATACACACCAACCTTCAAGGACCCCCACGGAAATCCTGACTCAGCGTTAGGATCATTTAGAGCTGCTGGCGCACGTCCCCTCCTGCTCTCAAGTGGCCGAGGCCCGTCATTGAACCCAACATGAACTCCCGTCGTTTCCAGGGGGGACATCTGTCTTTTTAAGGGGAAGGGATTAGTCATTTTGGAACGCAAATAGAGACATTTGGCTGCTTGGCCCTGCTTGGCCCTGCTTGGCTGTTGGATTTTGTCAGCCTTCTGCTGTGCTATTCGACTGGCAAGCCCAAGTTTGCAATGGCAGGCCGTCATCCAAAGATGATAGCATCCCACAAGGTCTCCAGATATTTGCAAGTTGGATTCCTACCTATCTTCCCACTTCCTCAAACTTATTCACTCCCGAGTCAGATGATTCGGTAGTGAACGTGAACAACCCTCAGGGGGATTTTGTACCCCATATTTTGAACTGTCCGTGCCCCGGCCCATCTGTTGCTGGGGCCGCAGGATCTGAAAAGAAGAAGATCTCTCCGCGAAGGCGCCAAAGGAAGCTTGGTTGAAGTCATCCAGTGGTGGCCGGTGGTGATGGCTACTCCTCCGCGGCCCCAGCCCCCAGAGGGCAACACCCAAGTCATCGGAGAAGACTAGGTCTCTACCAGCTTTTCATGCTCCAACGAAACCAAGGGTAAGAAAGACCAAACTGTGAAACGCACGGATCCCTCCTCACCATCACCTGCGATCGCGACCTTGGAGTTGCTTGCTGAAGATCTCCAAAATCCATTCCCGATTAAACCATAAATGGCCAGTGCATATCGGTTACAAAGTGGTTAAGAATCATATTGTACGCCATATGCAAGGCATATTGTGGGTTGTTACCCACTTACAAAATGGGATGCACATTTCAGTAATAGCCTTCAACTTTTGCCCAACTCCCATGACTTTCCGGTTGTTCAGGGTTGCGGACAGCCACGGTGGATTTGCATCATGAGGTCCCCCTTCGACCAAGACGACCCAGGTGGGACGGGCTTGCTGGTGGGATGTCCTTTGCTGGTGGGTTGATGAATAGAGGAGCACTCTAAACCCTAAACTGCTTCATAGATCATGGTCAATTGGATCAATGGGATTAATGGGATTAATAACGGACCTCTCAATTATTTTTTGACATCACTGGGGTTCTGCATATCCATCACTGGAGGTTTGCCTATGAGTTGGGTTTCCGGTCCTCCCTTCGCTTCCTAGTGGGCGGACTAAAAGTCCGCCCCAAATCTCTGCAGCGACTGCTGAATGGTTCATGATCTTCAGGGGTCGACAGCCATTTTCACGGAGGAATCTAAGGCCAGCCATGACTCCAGGACCCAGCAAGGCCTGAGCGAGAGGAGACATTGGTGCCATCACTGCCATCAGGGCCATCACTGAATCTGGATGAAGTGGCTGACGCGTTGGAAGCTGCTTGCTACTTGGATTTGCCCAAGTCCTGGCCTTCTGGTTGACTTTTTT